GTGGTAGCATTTGCCGGAAAATCTGATGCCGTTGGCGAAAAAAATCTGCGAGTATCTATGCAAAAAACGCATTTTCACCAGCAGTCGGTGCGCTGACCATTTATTTTTTTTTGTCAACTAAATGTCACAATTTTTTTTTTTAAATCATCCGCGCTGCTACTTAGTGCACAATTTCATTTCGCGGTGCAAGATGGCATTTTCCAAATGATTTTATACTCCGTTCGGGCTAAGTTTCTGTGCTTCCTAATACGTTTGCTCGCCTCATTCGATCTGGATGATACTGACTTAAACACCCCAGAAAAAAGCTACATCCTCTTTACGCTATCGACTGTGTTACTATTTTGGTTTGATTATTTTTCGTTGCAGCGGCCCATGGAGACAACGGTAGAGATTTTTTACAAGATGCTCATCCAAGAAGAAGTGGAATACATTGTAATGCTGTGCAATTTCACTGAAAAAACCGAGAAGAAATGCCCGGAATATTACCCAAAGTCACCTTCCGAGAAGCCCATGACTTTCGGCACAGTTACCGTAACCTGTTGCAACGTAAACTTCTTTAACCATTTGCACTGTTCAAAAATACCCTGCAAACATAATAAAGATACTCATGATATTATATAAAATTTAAAAGGATAATAAAAAACACAAAAAATTAAAAAATTAGTCAAATGAACTGGGTCTCGTCATTTCGACGGTTGTGTTTTTGTCGTGAGTAGTAGTTAAACTAATGTGTATAAATTAGAAGTGGTAATTCAGGAAAGGTGTAATAGCTGAAATACAAGCATATGTAAGAGGGGTAAAGTGAAACTTAATGGAAATTGAAAAATATGGGATGATAAAGAAAATTAGGAATGAAAAGTGATTGGCCAGATCCACATGAAGTGAGGAGCCCCCTGGACAACTTTTTATACGAAAACTTTTAATATTATTAAATGCAAATCCACAAAATGAGCGGAAGAAGGTATCGTGATGGGATAGGAATTCGGAAAGAAAAGAAAAAGCGGATCGGAGAGAGGGAGAAGAGAACTACAAAGTAAATTCAATTGCGAAGCGCTAGAATACATTACGTAGGCTAAGGCTAAATGTAAAAACAATAAGAAACGGTGAAAAATTGTTTTGAAAGGTGTCAATTTTGTCTGGAATTTGGCCTTTTTTGAATCCTTATCATTATACAGTGGAACACTCTGTCATATGAAAGCAGCGCTCTTCTTATCATGACAAAATCAACGTGGTTTAAGATTACTTCTTAATAGAGCATAGTGCGTGGTAAATTACCCTCTCAAAATTCCAAATTACTGGCTTTTTGCGACTCGGCTTCTAAAATTGGCAAAACCGAGAACTAAATTTGTTTTCTAACCCATGACCCAAACCACATGGTCTGAGTCATCTGCCGGGACAGGAAGTTTACTAGAAGTCGGTTTTAGGTTTGCCCAGGATAGTTTCAGATTTGCCCAGGATAATTTCAGATTTGGCCTTTTAGGTTTTTCTTCCACAAGGTTTGTCTAAATTTGAACCATGTGGTTAAAACTAAAGTAACAGGTTGACCAGGAGCACTTTTCAGGTCTTGTATGAAGCCAAAAAATTTGTTCAGAAAATTTCAAACTCGACTCTTTTATACCCCCTAGATCATGAAATCTACCTAAACCCAGGTCTGAAATAAAGTTTTGGATTCTAGTTTCGTCGCCTTGCGCACGATCCGAGGCTTAGTCTGTAAAGCTTCCCAATTTCTTTAATTAGAAAATTAGAGAAATAGAAACGGACACATACGAACAGTATTCTTTATCATATTCATTTTCGCTGACGCATCAGCTGATGTATGTCTGCCCACAATAAGACACACAGTTTAAAAGTGATAAACTGTGTCAAAAATAGAAAAAATGCTTAGCATAAGGTAAAAGGTAAAAACAATCCATTTCCAAACAAGGACTGGGAAACTGATAATGAGAAGATTTACCGTGCAAAGAGTTGTGAGGAAAGACGCAAAATTGTGGTACATTCCTTCAATTGGAAGAATGATTAACATTGTCTAGATTCACATTCTGAACCATAATTCAGGCAAATAATTTGAAAACTGAGGTGAATGTGAAGATCACTGGCTTAGAAATCAAGGGAACCGGCAACAAGAAGCATATGGTGAAGCACTGTCACTGCCAGAGCTGGCCAGAAAGGGGATTCCCGGAACCAACGTTTACATTCATGAACCTGCTCTGTGCCGTTCGAGGCTCAAAGAAGCCGATCGTTGTACATTGTTCTGACGGTAATGCTTTTGAGGGCGAACGATGCCGTATTATTATTAATATTATTATCAGTGCAATTATATCACTGTTGCTGTTGTTATTGTTATTATTATTACAAATTCATGATGCCGTTGTTATGCATCTTGCGCTGAAATAGTTGCACAAGATGCATGATGTGGAGACCTTATGAGCATATTTGTGTACGTGTTTTTCTGTCTGTCTGTCCGTCCGGGCATTTCAAGTTGGCAACCAAGCAAAATTTTGTTAACGGATTTCCCAGTCAAACGGTGCCTAAGGAATTCGGTACCAATTTTCATGCATGTCTAAGCCCCACGTATGAACATGCGAAAGCTTTGTTGAGAAAGCTGTTAAATCGGGACCGAAAAAGCTGGAAGGCTGAAATTTTAAGGGGATTTCCCCTGTCCATGTACAACTTGAAGATCTTAAATTCATTTCCCAGATACGTGTGAATCTCACTTATGAACACACTAGATTTTTGGTAAAATTACCAACTTGGAAAGCGGAACAACTAGTCCATTTTCAATGAGCGACCGTTCAACGGAAATTATTCATCATGTGTTCTTGCAGATACGCAAATACAACCCAGGCTGGAGCGCACCGGGCGGCCCGAGCGATCAGATGTTTTCGCTTCGGACTTGAAGTGCATTAACTGCATGAATAGTTGTTGCTTTACATTTACCTTTTGCAGTCACTAGCATAAATCATCATAAATTTTACATAAAGTAAATCTATAACTTCCATTTAACGGTCTTTTTTATGCGTTTTTGCTGTGCAGCGCTACAGCGCTGCTACAGCCAGCAAAAACGCATATTGTC